ATGGCTAAAATACAATGTTCTGACAATTTTTATAATACATGTCTAATCAGATTTCAAATATTACAACCAGTTTCAAATAAAATTGCCTGTATATTTTTGCAGCTCCCTAAAATTTCTAGCGTCCGCCAACGTGTTAAATTTTTTTTTTAACCCACCTTCAACCCCCTCTAAAGTTATTTTTTCTCGGAATTTGCAAAATTTATATTTTCAACACCTTATATTCCCGAAACCGCAAGTATTTTCAAAATTTCTATAAACGCAGAAACGGTAAAATCCGTGCCATGAAGAAATATAATTATTTTTTAACTCATGCAATTAACCCTTAAATTGGAGCACTATGTTAACGCTCCTTTAAAGTTTTCTTTATATTTTGTTAAACATAGTAAAATTTATGAAAAAAGTAGAGACAGTTATAAGCAAAGAAATAAAATAAATCAAAATTATAATAGTAAAAGTGTCCCAAAATATAGAGCAGAACTAAATATTTCATGAATAGGAAAATTTACTTCCTGTTAAGAATGTATATAAAATTTACCATATAATGCTTCCCTTTCCGATATCAGTCGGACGCCTATTCTAAACGGATGCCTTTTTCACAGAGAGAAAACTATTCAAAAAATAGAACAAAAATAATAAGATTTCTCTACTTTTTTACATGCTGTAAAAGCTACATAATTTTCTCCTGGAATTTATCAAGAACCACCTTGATTTTTAAGGCGAAACCCTCCTTTCTTTTTTATGGAGCCTTATTAAATTGGTATAATAAATATATTACAAAAAAACATTAATTCAATTTATTTAATTTATTTTAAATTTCTTAATTACAGATTTCTAAATATCCATACTTTTCATAGAACGACAAAATTAATTGCCCATTTACAGTTGATTTTAAAAGTTAGATACTAAGAACAATTAGCTAAATCATTTTTTTTCTAATCATTCCAAAATTCTGTGTATATGTTGACGACAACGTGTCTGCATCATTAATCTAAAATAAAAGAGTTTCTTATGAAATAAATTATATTTGACTAAATTTATATTCAACATGTTTAATATTATTTGGTACTTTTGTCAAAAATATTTTTCTTAACCTTATCTTTTCTACAAGTACTTAATCCAGCTTTAAAGCGATCGCGAAAATGATAATTATCAATTCTATCAAAAAATGTGGTGTTATTTTGGAGCTCTATTTTTACCGACCGTATTATGTATACTCGTACAATAGGTAGGTTTTGTGATGACAACAAATTTTGCATATCGACTCTTTTACATTTTTGACCATTTCGAAGAAAATATTCAACCGATTTACTTGAAATTTCATATATAAGTTCAGCTCAACCGTCCGCGAAACCTCCTAACTTTTGGAAGAAATCAGGTGTCAGCAACTGAACGTTTACCACGGGTCAAATATACATTTTTGCGTATATAAAGAGAAATAATCAACCGATTTCATTGAAATTTAATATTTAAATTCTTCGTATTAAAACAATGAACATATAAATTTTTTGGAAAGATCAGGGCTCGAAAACTGATCTGCGGGCCGATTTTACATTTTTCACCATATCTACGGAACGAATCGATGGAATTTCTGGAAATTTGATATTTGAGTTCTGGTTGTTACCGAAACTAACTGGCGAGCATTTCAGGGAATCCGGGTAGCATAAAGCGAAACTCTACTAAGAACCAAATTTACATTTTTCTAGGTATGTTAACTATAAGCTCACTAATGTCCTCAAAATTGGAAAGAAGTATTTAACAGACATTTTTATAATATTTTGTAACACATTCACTTAACTAGACAATACACATTGCGGTCGGTTATGTGCTGACCACATCAGATTTTTTTCCAGAATATCAGTAAAGTTTATACCATGTACTTTTAATAAAATGCAAATAGTAGTTAAACCTCAGGAGCTATAAATTGTCTGCGATTCAATAATTTCACTTTTCTTCCATATTGTAGGAGGAATATCTAAAACTACTGATTAAAAATTTATAAATACATACATACATCATTTTTGATCAAAGTTTTCATTTTCTTGATTCGTTTTTGTATAATTAATTTTTTTAATAACTATTGTTTTTAGCACTTTTCCAAAAAATTTTTTGAAAAAAGTGCTCATTAGTTTCACTTTGTCCGTCCGTCCGTCCGTGGACACTTTTTTTGACAAGCTGAAATTTAATACGTACATAGATCTTCACTAGAAACTTATTTCCGTAGAACAAAATTTTTACCTATCTCCCCTCCTCTAGAAGTTATACCCCCCAAAACCCTAAAAATGGCCTTTTTTAAATATTTGTTGCAATGAAACCATAAGCATTTTTGAAATTTTTCAAACGCAGAAAGGCAGTGGCTTACTTCCCCTAGCGCGGTATACTACAGCTAAACTTTAGAAAAACAAAATGGCCGTTCAAATTTACCGTTATCTAAAGTTCTTTTTTTCCAAATTTTTGATGTCGTTTTTCTTCTAGACCCCATAATGTAGAACTTTGAAATTTTAGGAGCTTTTAGACATTAACAAATAGTTCATTTTGTTAGAAGAAAATTTTTTTCCATCTCCACCCCCTCTCAAGTTATCACCTCTTGAAATTCGTAAAATTTGAATTTTTGACACCTTATATTTCCGAAACCGCAAGTTTTTTCAAATTTTTATAAACGCAAAAAGCTAACGGTAAATTCCATGAAATTAAAAAATATAATTATTTTTCTTAACTCACACAATTAACCCTTAAAATCGAGCATTATGTTAACCTCTTTTTATATTAATTTTTGCTATATTTCAAAGACTGCATATATGCATCATCCTAAATATATGCAATCCTAGAAATAGTTTTATATATGAATGAAAATAATTTTAATAGTTTTGTAGGTACACATAGACTGTATTTAAATGCAGAATTTTCACTTGTTGAAGGGAAAAGTGCTACAATACAAACCGTTGGTTTGACCCAACTTTATTTATTATTTTAACTATTAACATTTTATATTAGCACAGTATTATTTATAAAAATTTTCTTTTTATACTTTTGCTAAAAAAACAATTGCGAAATATGTTGACTAACAACATCAACAGGACTCCAGAAGCTTTTAGGTACTAAGTTATTTGACGTAAACATTTCACAACCTGTAATGATTTGAAAAGATATGCATATTAATTATATGAGGTTGTCCTATTGTTTAACATAAAAAAGAAGATTTTCTTATTGTTGTAGAATATTAAGAAGGGAAACACATATAATCCACTATATTGTAAGCAAAAATTTCTACTACGTTTTTCTTTTTAAAACTATGCAATAAGAAGTTTGTCTTATTTCCAATATTTAATATGGTTCACTTTATAAAAAGAATATGTATTAAAAAGTTTCAAAGGATTTTCTTTATGAAATCAAGCAGATTTCTTCACGGAAAAATCAGATTTATAGTTTTTAATAAGGACTCCCAATAAAAAAGCTCAATACGGGAAGTTATTGATTTTATGTGGTTAATTTTCTCTCTGTATATTGACTAGAATGTTGAAGCACATCAAAAATCGGTGAATGAACCTAATTGCCTCTTCAAATTTGGAGTAAAATTTGAAAACGATTCGGGCAATTCGTCAATATTAAAAAATTTAAGTTAATATACATAGTAATATAAAAATTCTTGTGCATAGAAGTTTTTAAGGAATTGAATATAATTTTAAAGCTACAATTTGAAATATTCGGAAAATTAATAGAGTTAGATCCTTGAAAGTTTGCAGTCATATGTTTCTAATTATAGTTCAAGCAAAAGTGCAGTTTCAACATGGAATAGTAACAGGTTCGGCATTATGAAATGGATTAACAGGTAATTTTACATATTTCGCGAACAAGTTTTTATAGTCGAATACTCAAAGTTTAGACCAACTGAAACATTTTACTTGCTTTTTACAGACGGCATACAATAAGAGGGTTTAAAAGTAAGTAAAACGTGAATTTAAAACAATGAACCTATATTTTTTTGAAAGATCAGGACTCGAAAGCTGAACTCGGAAACGGAACTAATTGATGAAATATCTTGAAATTTAATATTTAAATTTTGGTTGTTACCGAAACTAACTGGTGAACTTCTCAAGAAATTCATATGACACAAAGCGAAACTCTACTAAGAGGCAAATTCACATTTTTCTAGGTATGTTATCTAAAAGCTTACTTACTTTCTTAAAATTGGAAAGAAATATTTAAAATGCATTTTCATAATCTTCTATAACACGTCCGCTAAACTAGATAATACACACTGCAGTCGATTAGGTGCTGACTTTCTTTTTGGGATTTATTTTTATAGTTCGCTTTTTTTTTCAATGTTCTTTAAAATCATGAACATTTTATTTACTTTTTATTAATATAAATTTATATATTTACGTATAGTTTAATTATAAAATGTTTTTACAATCAATTTATAGAAATTTTATGTTATAATTTTTTTAAATATGACAAAAAACATTAAAGATTTATTTAATATTTAATTATTTAATTATTTTAATATTTTACATATGTATGTGCTCTTAAAAATATGCTACAGCCTTGTATATCAATAAACATATACGCATATCAATATTATACAACAAATTCTATAATATATATGCATATATGTGTTTGTGGTGGCCGATAATAAGCTATATATATGAATATAAAATTTACTTATTTGCGTAATTCGGAGAGAAAAAGATTTTAAAATTTAAAACCCTTTTGTTTGTAATTATATATTTAAAAAATTATAAACTAAGATTCGGTGACTTTCACTGCGGCATAGAGAATTCGTGATTTAATAATAATTTTAGGATTCATGCACGTGTTTTACACAAATGGTGCACATAAAAATAAAAAATTATTTAAAAAACAAGAAAAAAAATGTTTTAATTTTTTTTATTGAATTCAAAATAATTTCAATATTTTCGGTTTTCTTTGTTTTTTTTTTTTGGAAATTAAATTTTCAAACAAATCAGTTATATTTATTATTTATATTCTTTTAATTTAAGTTTTTACGATGTTGTTGATGGTGATGTAGTTGAACTTGAACTTGTATACGTACAATATGATGTGGTCTCTGGACATGATGGTGTAGTGGGTGTACTTGTATAACTAGTACCTGTAGAATATGTTGTTGACGTTGTAGAAGTGGGTGTTGATGAACCTGGTGTTGTATCCGGACTTGTAGTTCCCGAATAAGTTGTTCCCGTGAATGTATAACTATATGTCGTTCCAGTTATTGAACCAGTTGAACTTGTAGCACTGGTAGTTGAAGTGGTGGATGGAATGGATGTACTTGTACTTGAAATTGGTGTAGACGTACACATGGTATAAGATGTAGTTGAAGGTATTGTAGAAGTTGTAGAAGTTTCAGTTAATGTTTCATCTGAACATGTTTCAGTTTCGGAAGTTGATGTTGCAGTTTCAGTTGATGTTTCACCTGAAGATGTATCAGTTTCGGAAGTTGATGTTGGAGTTTCAGTTGATGCTTCACAAGAACATGTATCAGTTTCGGAAGTTGATGTTACAGTTTCAGTTGATGTTGCAGTTTCAGTTGTTGTTTCTCCTGTACATGTATCAGTTTCAGAAGTTGATGTTACAGTTTCAGTTGATGTTTCACCAGAACATGAATCAGTTTCAGTGGTTGATGTTGCAGTTTCAGTTGATGTTTCACCAGAACATGAATCAGTTTCAGTGGTTGATGTTGCAGTTTCAGTTGATGTTTCACCAGAACATGAATCAGTTTCGGTGGTTGATGTTACAGTTTCAGTTGATGTTTCACCTGAACATGAATCAGTTTCGGTGGTTGTACCAGATGATGTTGGTGATGTAGTTGAAGGCGAAGTGGTTGGAGGTGAAGTAGAATCATCTGCACATGGTAACGATTCTGCAGTATCTATTATTAAATCAATTATTGTTTGGAAGAAACCACCTGTAAAAACAAAATAAAATAAATTGTTTTAAATAAAAATATAAAATTATTAAAATTTTATTTTAAGAATGGTATAGTATTCAGTATTATTTTTTTAATAATGTGGGAAAACGAATATGTATATTCATTTTATAATTGCATAAATAAAGGTGTTTAACATAAAATGTATAAGAGTTATAAGTTTATTATGGCTTTACTAAAAACTCAAATCTAAAATTCAAATATAAATAAAATTAAAATTTATACATACTGATGTTATTGATAAGCATGAACATGAAATTTCCACCAGAAGCTAATGGTGGAATTTCGATTATTACACCACCATCACTGGTCACTTCAGCTTCCGTTGATGTGCTGTCACTACTAATTGTTGTTGAAGTATCAGTTCCTGATGAAGTAGTTGTTGGGATTGTTGTTGAATCACATGACGAAGTTGTTACAAGAGTAGTCTCAGTATTAATTCCTGTATTTGATGGTGTAGTTGGTGCAAAAGTAGTCGCAGTAATAATTCCTGTATCTGATGATGTAGTTGGTGCAAAAGTGGTTGCTGTGTCTATTCCAGTTGTTGAAGTAGTTTCCGTTGAATCAGGTGCTGAACAACAATGTGCACATTCTGTTGATTCATCTGATGTTGATGTTATAGATGAAGTAGGCGCTGGTGTTACGTAAGTTGATGTAGTAATATAAGATGATGTTTCTTCACTACTTCCCGAAATTGTGGAACCAGAATATGATGTTTCACCAGAACAGTCTGAATAAGATGTACCAGCTGATCCACTAGTCAAACCTGTTGAACCAGAATATGATGTTCCACCAGAACATTCTGAATAAGATGTACCAGCTGATCCACTAGTGAGATCTGTTGAACCGGAATATGATGTTTCACCAGAACACTCTGAATAAGATGTACCAGCTGATCCACTAGTGAGATCTGTTGAACCGGAATATGATGTTTCACCAGAACACTCTGAATAAGATGTACCAGCTGATCCACTAGTGAGATCTGTTGAACCGGAATATGATGTTTCACCAGAACACTCTGAATAAGATGTACCAGTTGATCCACTAGTCGAACCTGTTGAACCAGAATATGATGTTGGATCTTCACCAGTACATTCTGCATAAGATGATCCACTTGAACCAGTAATAACTGATGAAGTTTCTTCACTACTACCCAAACCTGTGGAACTTGTTGATGGTGGCGTTATAACAGTAGTTGTTCCTTCATTACTGCATACAGGTGACGAAGTTGCACCTGTACTACCCAATGAACTCGAGGTAACTCCACCTGAACTACTAATTGGGGCAGTTGTTTCCCCAGAAGCACGTGGCCTTCCAACAGTTGGGTCTATTAACGCGATAACTATATAGAAAGAATTTAAGTTTTATAGAACTATATAGAAGAATTTAAGTTTTTCTTTTTTGTAAATATGCAGGATAATATATTTTTTTTTAATTTGAATTAATTATTTAAATTTAATTTTAAATTTTTTCATATTTGATTAATTAAGTAATATTACTTGTTGCAACTAAAAAAGTGAGCCTGAAGATTTTAGAAATCATCTTGACGTGTCCTGTGGCAAATTTTTTGGTTTATGAGAAAATCTATCATTTACTTCTGTTTTTATATGAATCAAAAAATTTTGCAAAAATTCATACACTCAAAAAAATTTCTATTATCTATGTAAAATATATTTGTATACAAATGTTTTATTGCAAATTCATTACTTAAATTTTATAAAGAAAAATTTATTGTTGCTACGAGTATAAGAAATAAATTTCCCCTGGAAAGTAATTTTTTATGTATTTACGGCATTGTCAAAAAATTTGATACCCGAAAAGTTCTACTAGTGCTATTTTGCTAAAAATTAATTAATTATGACATATATTTCTTAATATTAAATCACAAACACTATGCTGGCAAGTAGTTTCTCGACGAAGGCTGTTAAACATCCCTGAATTTGTAATCGCATACACAAAATTACATATACATGTGCATATATATATTTTAAAAGATTTATATATAAACTAATCCGTACATTTTAATTACTGCTTTGATGCACCTTCCAATTTTTAGTTTTCATCCTGAACGTATGCAATAAAATAATGTTTTTTGTATTATTCAGAGAATAATGTTAATTGAAAAAATGTTTAACGAAACGTTATTATACCATAAATCGACAGAATTAGGTTTATTGCAAAATAATTAAAGTTAAATACGCGGAAACAAGTCAATTAGCTGAAAAATGAGACTTCGTAAATGTAAAATGCGCGTAAACTTTGTGAGTTTTTTACATACTAAATTTTGAGTTTGCATTTTTAGCTTTTTTTAATCTCGGCCATTCCAAAAGTTTTTGAACTAATGATATATGATGGCATTTCCCATTGCATCCCATTTATTAGTAGTTGCCAGCACGGTTTTCTGGAAAAGAAATCAACGGTGACTAATCTAGTGGAAGCTGCTTCTGTTTTTAAATAATATGGAAGATGGGTGTTAAATGGATGTGAATTACACTGATTTTAGCAAAGCTTTTAACGTTTTACCACGCAACTTAATTCTTTTTACATTGAGGTTATATGGTTTTCCCAACAATTTTGTAAGTTTGTTTAACTCTTATCTTTCTGTAAGGAATGCAAGGCCCTTTTTCGTTAATCGGTATCGCCCCCGCTTGTGGCTAGTTCTGGAGTTCCTTAGGGCAGACACATGGGTCCATTGCTTTTCATCATCGCTGTTAATGACGTAGCGTCCATTTTGAATTGCAGTGTAGTGTTAATTTATGCTGATGATATGAAAATTTTCAAGAGAATTCGTTCTGCAAATGATGCAGTTCCTCTACAGAGTGATCTGGATAACTTTTGCAGGTGGTGAACTAGTAACAACATGAAAATCAACGTTAGTAAGTGTGCGCTAATATGTTATTCCAGTCGGACACAGCCCATAATATCAGATTATACTTATGGTCAAGTTATTAGTAGGGTTGATTGAATTATGTACTTAGAGGTTTGCTTTGATAATAAGCTATCATTCGCCAATCGCTACAACTATGTGGTTGGCAAGGCAAGCTCTATGTTGGGATTTATTAAACGCTGGTCAAAGGAGTATATTTGTCTCTGGTTCGTCCTCATCTTGAATATGCCTCACAAGTTTGGTTGCCTTTTTACAATATTCATATTAATAGGATTGAGTCGGTTCAAAAGAATTTTTTGCGATTTGCGCTTCGTTACCTTCCTTGGGAGAATCCTACTTTTCTTCCTCCTTATGAGGACGGGCTCTATGATTGGCTTACCCACTTTAAGTAAAAGACGTGATGCTTAGACGTGATTCATTTTTCAACTTATGAAATCTGATTTGATCTCTCCTGATATTTTTAATAAGATCGTCAACAATTCTAATGTTAGGTCTCCTGATTTTTTTTTTGTTCCGTTTCATAGAACTCATTATGGGAAAAACGAACCTGTCAGTAGAATGTTGAACCTGTGTAACAAGTTCAAGAACATACTTGATTTCACTTTAACAAAGGACATTATAAAAAAAAAACACTTATTTTCTGTATTCTACATTTTAGAATACATATTACATATTCTATATTACAGATATTCTAAAATTACAGTACATATGTGTTGTAATTTTAGAAGATCTGTAATCTTTTGTATTGTTTTTATTTTCTGTAAGTCTAAATATGTAAATTGATATGTATATTATATTGTAATATGTTTGAGCTAAGCATGTAAAATAAAAAAAATAAAAATGAAAATAGCAATGTAAACGAAAAAATACAAAAAAAAAGTTTCCAAAAAATTTGACATTTATGAATTGATGTTCAAGTTTACAGCGCTTGTTAAATGCTAATTTTGGGGCAAACTTATTGTCGAATTTTGTGTACATTTTAAATTTACGAGAACGGGGATATATATTAAGATGTTTCAATGCTCTTCTGTATGATTCAGCGAAGTTATAATATATAACATCCAAGATTAAAATTAGAAATTCATTGATTTTAATTTTGAAGTATTTTTACTGTATAATTTTTTCTGTGTATTTATATAAAATAAAACATTATTTTTAATTTATAAATATTTTTATATTTTTTTATTAGTTCCTAATGGAACATGAAATAGAGAAAATATCAAATTTAAAATTGAAATTTTGTTTGACATCTGTTTAAATATTTGTGTCAAAAAATTATGTTTTTTTCTTCTTTTCATTTGTTTGTTTCACTATATTGACAATTTGATATGTTGTTTTTTTTCATAGAGCAGGAAAATTTCGTACTTGAAAAAAGTAAAAAAAAAAATTTTCTTTTTAATTATATAATTTTTAAAATAGAAGTATATAAAATAGATAATTTTTTTTCTATGCTTATACATAACTAAATACGCACATATACAGAGTATAACAAATAATTATAAACCTGCAAAACACTCATATTTACAAACATTTATATACATGACTTATGTATTTTCTATTTCTTTGTTGAGTAAATTATAGTATACACGCATATATTTACATTAAACGGTTGGAGGTAAAACCTGATGGGTTTGCCAATATACATTCGAACTAAACAATCTCAAGATTAAACCTTTAATATATAAACTAAATAAGTACTTTTATTTACAATAGAGAAAAGATTAAGGGAAAACAAATTTTGTATTTGTTTATGATATATGGCGATAACATTTTGAAATTCATTTAACTTTTAATTGACGAGTATTTATTAACTTTATATGTCTCCCTTTTCTCTCTCTGCCCCTTCATTCTATTTTATGTTCGTGTGATATTAATACTACCCCGAGGAATTTGTAATAATTTCACCTTGCATAGGTTAAAGGTTAAGAACCAGTAAATACTCTGTCATGATAAATCCGGACATAACGATAAGTTGTAATTGCTCAATTATTTAACAATATAACGTATATTCTAGTTCTGATTTGTATTGCAATTAGAATTGATATAACATTTTTTTTAAAGTAAATAAAAGTTTATTTCGTTTATAACATTTTAAGAAATAAGGCTTGTTGATGCTATATATAGGTTGTTCCATAGAGTGAAAAAAGTACCGGTATTTCTCACACAGCCAAAGTTATAGCTTATTTCTGATAAAGTCACAAAAACAATATTTGCCCTTTTTAAACCGGTTCGGAGGGGCCTACTGTTGAATAATTTTTTTCCATGCACATAAGGATCTACACGCTGGTGTTTATGGTAAATGCACTACTGTATGAAATTCCTATATAATAACATGCAAAATCTATCAAACAGAATAATGGATGTAATTGAGTCATCATAAGTACTGTTTGATGATATATTTCTATGTTTAATTTTCTATGTTTTTTTTCTTTGGCATTTCGTTAATAAATTTCTACAGCTTTGTCAACTTCATATCTTCTGTATATAGGTTAATATCTATTGAAATATGTGAAATATTGAAAAGGGTTATTATATGGTTCGCGAACCGGAAGAAGAAAACAAACGGGATAATGTAGGCTATAAAAATCACAACATTTTTCAAAAAATTTTATATTTAATTGAAAATTATTTCTAGTCACACACAATTTTTATTCGCCTAGTTTTGACATTTCTCTTGAAATAATTTTATTTGCTTCGCGAATCATTATACCATTTATCCGAATTCGAGAACAATGGTATTCGCTTGGCAAACCAAAATAACCCGATAGGATTTCTGTTCTCCAAAGTAAATCGATAGCCAATCTTGTTAATTGAGAGGTTAGAGCCTAGATAAAAAATGTGTGGGACGAGGGATGGGAAATTTTTTAAATAAACTGTATGGTAATCTATAGATAACCAAACTTTTTACGCAATATTATGCTTCTTTGAGTTTACAAAAATTGTTTACAGAAAAGCCATTTCTTTTTCTTTAATTTCTCATTCTTTTCCATTTTACTAAACAATAAAAAATTTCCATATTATACAACCAAAAAAGAAAACAAAACTAAAAGCAATAAAGAGTACAAAAAATCGAATCTTCGAAATTTCTAATGTTTACTATAACGAAAACATGTTAGACACATAGATTAAGTATAATAACCGCTTTCAAAAACGTTTTATTTGAATGTTCTTTTTGGATTATTGAAACCATTTACAAAATCACAGTGTAAATATTAAGAAAAGACTCTACAGAATCATAACCTCTATTAGAAAAAATGTAAATTTGACCCCAAAGTAAATGTTCAGGTTCTAGCAAGCACCTGACTCTTCGGCTCTTTGTTATTATTTTATGAAACAGAACTTATATATAAAATTTTAAGAAAAATTATTCATTCATTAAAAATATTCAAAAATGTATAATCGCGCACTGTCATATCGATTCAGTTTCTATGGGATCTGATATGCCACAAAAGTTGATCAATCCATCATATGTCAAAAGAGTATATAGCCCGATATAATCAAAAATAAACTTGGATTTTGTAAAAAACAGTCAAGCCGAAATGCTTAACAATTTGACTGTGCCGGCTACCTGACAAGTCCACAGATTGATAAACAAACCGAAAACTAGCATATATACAGACAGACTGGTAAGAAAACCGCTCAATCAGTAAACAAACAAATAGACAGACGTCTTTTCAACAACGGCATGTAAATCTTTCGTATCATTTTAATGCTTAAATGGTAAAAAGTACATAAATCCAGAATGTTGTCGCATTACCATTACAAACACAGTATAGTTCTTTACACACCCTGTCTAATGCTTTTGAAAACGAAAAAGGGTAACAAGAACACTTACTTTTTCAAAGTCCATTAAAGAATAATTCAAGGACAGTTTGGATTTAATTAAGTTAAATTTAAATTTTATTTAAATTCTATTTTTATGTTTCAAATTTTTATAGAGAAACATGTTTTCTTTCTTATGAGAATTCTGTTCTTCTAATATCGTTCTTTCTTTCAAGAACAGGCAGACATGCCAGTGATTCAGTGTTAAAAAAATTAATCTATAAATTTTTTGGAAAGATCAGGGTTCGGAAACTGATCTGGGGGCCGATATTACATTTTTTACCATATCTACAGAACGAATTGATGGAACTTCTTGAAATTCGATATTTGAGTTCTGGTTGTTACCAGAAATTACTGATAAACTGAATCACTTTTCGTGTAATTCGGACGGCAGAAAATGAAACTCTACTAAAAGCCAAATTAATATTTTTCTAGGTATGTTAACTAAAGGCTTCTTAGTGTCTTTACATCTTTTGAAGTACTTTTACTAATCTAGACAATATACATTGCGGTCGGTTATATGCTGATCACATCAGATTTTTTTTTATTATAAATTAATTTTCAATCCTATGCTTTTTTTAACTTTTTTGAAAAAAATTTTGTATTTAAATTTTGTCTATTACATTAATAATATTTTGTTATAATTAAAGTAAGAGAAAAAATATG